TTAGTTAGTGTTTTGGCCAATTTGTGGAAGTAGAGTTACTGTTCACGTCGTGTTCACTGTTCAATGGTACTGTTCATGATACTGTTCACAAATTACTGTTCACACACCGAGGGCTAACAATTAACGGGGATTTAAATGATTAGTTTGTAATATGAGAATGATTTTGGAGATATTTGATCATGTGGAGATTTATGGAAATAGTATTGTGATTATGAATGATCCTAATGATGATTTCAGTTTAAATTTGTGATAGTCCGATATTAATTCTGAGGTGTTTTGATTAGGTTTCCGATCGTTCTGTCAGTTAGCACTAAGATTGAGTGCTCGGTTTTATGCGAGTGAGGTAAGTAAATTGATGGTAATGCCCGTACTGTTTTTAAAAGCATGTTTTGGTTTGTTTTTGAAATGGTGGCGGGACTAAACCCGTTTTATACAAAATAAGTATGATTGATTTGAACTGAAAATTTTGATGATTTTTATGGATTAGAGCATGCCTACTGGAAGTTCATTTGATTGTACTGATGATTTGAAAGTTATTTGTAAAGACAGATTTTCTGTTAACTTCTGCCTATTTTGTCTTCGATGTGGTTATGTTATTGATGATCCTGCTAGTGGGGGTTAAACACCAACAAATACTGTAGCCTGCCAGTGGGAGGTTTAAACACTGGCCATGACCTATAGAGGAGACGTCTATTTCTTTCCCGTACTGTATCCGTTTTTATTATATTGTTGGCATGCTATAAGTTTAATTGATTGCTACTGAACTTTATTCTGCATAATGGTTTATCATTGAACATTTCGTTTATGTTTATCTGAAATGCTCAAATTTTCCTCACCGGTTATCCATACATTTACTTATTGAGATAGTTTATGTCATAGTTTTTCCTTGTCCACCATTTCAGGAAGCGAAACTGAGGACAGGGAAACCACGAGAAGTGACGAGTTAGAAGGCTAGCCATTTCGAGATTGATATAGATTTTAGAAATAAATTATGATCTTGTAAACTTGAGTGTATTTGGAGATTTTATGATATGAGAGCAAATTTTAAAGATTTGATCTTCCGATTTTGGTGGTATCAGAGTACAGTATGATAAGTTCCGATCCTTGTGCATTTGTGGGACCTTCTCACGAGTGCATGGTGTTTGCCACGTCCCCGGATTTGGGTTCTGAGGCGTGACAATGATGGACAGCCATAACAGCTCGCGATCGATCTCGACGACGGTCGAGCTGAAGGGTGGCACGAAAAGAGGCGAGCTGTTATCCATAACCACACTAGTGTGGGGTGGTTATAGCGGTGAGCTGAAGAAGTTCACCACAAATGAGCTCGTCTAGGGAATAGTCACGTACACAAGGTGCTATTCGCTATTCTGGCGAGCTCGTCAATGTTGATGGAAGCGCAAGAGAACACGTGATGATTTGATGGACGAGTACTACCGAGGGTACTGAAGCGACGATGACGCTGTTACACAATTATAATGACGAGCTGAGACGAAGCGATCTCAGCCACGCAATCGTAATTATTATGCTTTATCAGTTCGCATGGGCAATGAGGTTAAATAGAGCGACCTCAGATATTCATTAATTCGTGAAAAGGTTTGTGAGCGACCTGACGAGCTAAAATGGACGGGAAAAGGGGCAGACCAACCTGTAGCGAACTGAATCTTGAGGAATTTTAGCGAACAAGCTATAATTGTGAACGAACTGTCCCGGTTGAGCCGACCTGGTAAATGCGCTCACACTGGCGAGCAGATGTGATGGGATGGTGCATATCGGCCGTTATGATCTGGACCTTGGGATTTTTCAAATCACCCAAATCTTTGAAGAGATACGATTGATCTCCCCGTATCTCTCTGTCTTCCCCGTCATAAATGCTGGCTCGGCATTTAAGGGAACACGTTAGCTAAAGTCGGCGCGCGTTATACGAGAGGGGCTTAGGCACCTGCCACGCGTGAGACACTAACTGGTGTGTCAGAGGCACGCGTACGGCAATTAACGCAGCAACTTTAGGTTTATGCTTTACGTAACCGTTCACTTTTCCATTTTCATTTCCCTGTTTGTTTGAAGTTTTCTGAAATTCTCTGTAGCGAAACACTCCAGTTTGAAGAACAAAGCACCGAACCAGACTCTACATTTCGCATCCATTTCAGGTAAAATGGTTTCCTTGAGAGAACTTACAGAGGTACGAGGTAACCAAGGCCGAGAAGAAGAAGGGGATGGGGTTATATCTGCGAAGCCTATCTCCGCATATCACGATGATAGTGCCACCGGCGTTGCAGGATGTGCCGGAAATAATGAGGCTAGACAGCAGCGCCAGTTCGAGCGCTAGGGACAACGGTGGTGAACACCCTACTGCGTCATCTAGCAGCTCGTCCTTTAAAGAGACACCCAGTCGCGAGAAAGGGATGGGGGATGTGGTGAGCAATGTCTCAGATCGACCTGTGATTGAGGAGTGGGAGAGTAGGACAATCGCGGGCAGATTGAGGAATTTGACGAAGGCACCCAAGGATTTGCCCGCTGGTTTTAGGTTCAAGGCCGCGCTTCATCATGAAGTAGCAGACTGTGCGCCCTCAATAAGTGGGTATAGGAAACTGGAGGAGATGGTGAGGGCGCACCACATCCCCAAAATGATCTTGCTCCGGACTGGTGCCAAGAGTGAGAGGGCGTGCACGGTATCGTAGACGGGCTGGATCCTAGTGTACGTGGACCACTTCGAGGCCGGCCTGCGCTTTCCCTTGCCCGGGCTAGTGTTCGACTTGTTGGTGGACTACGAGCTCGCTCTGACGTAGTTAACGCTTAACAGCATAAGGTTCATCATAGGCTTTATGCTGTTGTGTGCGAGGTTGGAGGTGTTGGCGAAGGCGATTGTGTTCAGGTCGCTATTTCAATGCCGGCTGTGTCCGAACTCTAGGGGTTCTAAGTGGTACTACCTCTCTAGGAGGGATAAGAGCCAGCTGTTCAAGAATGTCAGGAACAAGGTGGCGAGGTGGAAGAGGCAATTCTTCTTTGTTTGCGATACACGAACAGAGAGAAATAGCAACGACCTCGCTACTCGGCTATCGGAGTGGCGCACGTCGAACGCCCATGTCAACTACCCCCAGCTGCTGCCCCGGGACGTAGATCTGAAAAATCAGCTACTTGAGTATGCGAAGAGGGAGAATCTAATAGATCTAGAAGCCCTGGTTACCTCAGAGCATCTCGCCGTGTTCGGGTTTGTCGACGTGACAAACCTGTTCAGCGAAGGTATACTTTCATCATATAGAGTGTATTCTAGTCGAGCTGAGTCTTATGTATTTGTTTGTGCAGGGGAAATGAGCAGTATACTCGAGCACCAACGTCAGCGAGCCTAGGGCTCACGAGGTCGCGGGGCGAGCAGCACCTCGCAACGACAGATACGGTTTGACGAGCGGCTGCCGCCAGTGCCCTAATCACGCAACTCGTTTCACTGCGGATCGAGCTCGGGGTCTTAGCCACGCCACAATCAGCGGGCAGATATAGCTCCCAGTGCACGCAGACGTGTACGCGAGGAGATAGAGAGTGAGGATGAGGTCCCCCTCATCCGGTGGAGAACAAGAGGGGGGGCTCAGCCCGCGCAGGCGGTTCGACTTGCGGCCGCGTGCTCACCTAACGCGCCATCAACAACTGCGCGGGTAGCAGCTAAGCCTACATCTGCGTCGGCCTCCGTGTCGGGCCCCAGGATCGCTTATCCTGAGGGCTTCAGCTATGTGAGGGCGGAGTGCCAGCCCGCCATGGTGCAAGGTATGCACAGCTTTGTGCCCCATGCGGATAGTAAGCGGGCAAAAGCTTTTGTGCAGCAGCATGGCGACCAAGTCGCCATGATCAAACTGATGGATGTAAGTATTTGCTCGTGCTTGCTTAAGTGTTTTACTTTTCCTTACTAGGTACTTACGATTGTTGCTATTTGGCAGGCATTCAGCTACGCTGTAGCGCTGTACGAGAGTGAGCATGGGGCTTGTACAGAGAACAGCGAGCTCAGTTCAAAATGTAAACAGCTGGCTGCTGAGAAGGCTAGCCTTGTGGGCGATGTGAATCGTCTGCAAGGCTCTGAAATGGCGAACCGAGCTGCAGCTGCAGAGAGCCGGGTAGACGAGCTCGCCAACAAAAACAATGAGCTCAGGGAGGAGTTGGAGCGGGCCCGTGCTGAAAGAAAGAGTGGGATCCAGGCAGCTAAGGAAGAAGCCACCCGGGTTGAGGAACGGGCCAAGAAGGCTGAGGCCGACAGGGACCGCGCTCAGCACTAGTTGAGCTCCCTTAGGCACCAGGCGGCCGAGGTCGACCGGAACCTCATTGCTGCCGGGCAGGCGCTGAATGAGCTGAAGACTTCCCACGCGCGCTTTGTAAGCATTGCCCAAGCTCAAGGGGCGAAATGGTTCGTGGGTTCTGCTTCGTTTCAGGACGCCGTGGCGGTGGCGTCTGCAAATGTAACCACGGAGATCTACAACGAGCTCCGTGGGAAGGTGCTGCAACATCGCCCGGACTTCCTGATTGGCGAGCTGGCATTCTTCGACGGGGAGGACCTGGACGAGCAAGGGAAGAGTCTTGCTCCCCTTGTCGACGCAACGGTGCGGTTGAGGTGGGACCTCAACGAGGAGGGAGTGCCGGTTTGGCCTCCTCAGGTCCTTGAGGACGGGGAGGATCCAGCAAGGCTGCCCTCTTTTGACGCATGGGTAGAGGGTGCTCCTGTAGCTGAGCGGGAGCCTTCAAGCACCCCGCCCAACTCTCAGCCCGCTGTGGAGCCAGCCAGCTCGCCCGTCAATGCACCAACTTTTGAACCAACAGCCCGGTCTCCTCCAGCTCGCTCTTCTGCAGCTGCTGTTGATGCATCCATACCCGTCAATCTGACGGATGACTAGACTTAGGGTTTTTTCTTTTTTGTCTTTTTGTATTTTCTTTTGATTACTTGTATTGATCAATGACATTATATGTCATGTACTTCAACTGTAAATGATCATTGATGAAATACAAATTGAATTTCCTTTTTTGTACTTTCTGTGTGTTGATTTCTCTATGAAATGCCATTTACAACTGATCCATGACGACCTGAACGCTAATAACATACATATTAACTATAAAGCTAATTCTTAACTGTAAAACTTTCTAAAGTTATGTATGTTCCACATGAACGGTAATGGATGACCTTGAAAATCTGCTAACCGGTAAGACCCAGGTCGTTGAATAGAAATAACCATATAAGGTCCTTCCCAATTAGGCGCGAGCTTGCCCATGTGCAAGTAAGCATTTGTCAATCCAGCTTTGCGTAGAACCAGATCACCGACTTGAAACTGGCAAGCTCGAACTCTTTTATTGTAAAATTTTGCGACACGACTTTGATGCGCCATGTTTCTTGTTCTAGACATCTCCCTGACCTCTTCCATGAAGTCTAGGTTTTCTCTCAACAGTTGCTCATTGTTGAGATCGTCATGCCAGCCTGCTCGATCAGATGGCAATCCAACCTCTACTGGAATGACGGCCTCAGCTCCATAGGCCAGGCTAAAAGGGGTTTCGCCCGTGGCCGAGCTGGGTGTAGTACGACAAGACCAAAGCACTTTATTGAGCTCGTCAACCCAATTAGAATGCGCAGCTAAAACACGTGTCTTGAGGCCTCTCAAGACGATTTTATTGGTGGACTCCGCTTGTTCATTAGACTGTGGAGTATACACAGATGTCAAGGCGAGCTCAATGCCATAGTCGTTACAGAACAATCTCAGTGCTGCTGCTCGGAACTGTGGCCCATTGTCAGCGATAATCCGCTTAGGTATGCCGAACCTGCACATGGATGACCAAGCTGAGCTACAAACCACGTTTGCATATAATTTATTCATGACCTAAGTCACCAAAGAATACATGCACAATATTGAATTGAACAAGAATTCTTCTATTTTCCTTTCTGTTGTCGTGGACAATGGTTTAGCTTTTATCCATTTAGTGAAGTAATCCACTGCAACGACCAGGAAAGTGCAGCCTTCTTTGCCTTTGATGAAACGGCCGAGTAGGTCGACACCCCATTGAGCAAAGGGCCAGGGAGACGTGAGAGATGATAGCATTTCCCCTGTTTCAAGGAAGATACTTATGCTCAGTTTATAGACAAACAGGAAGTTTGCATGATCTTCAGAACAGGCTCAGATACCTGGCATGTGTATATCATCAGCATTGAATTGGCAGGTCGGACATTTTTTGACATAGTTTTGCACATCCTCGACCATAGTGGGCCAGTAATAACCATGCCTCAGGAGTTTCCGAACTAAAGTTTTGCCACCGATGTGCGTGCCACATACTCCTTCGTGAACTTCCCTCACAGCGTATTCAGCTTCGTAAGGAGTAAGGCAGCGTAGTAGGGCAGCGTAGTAGGGGCATTGAGGCTGCTCGTTTGTAGAGCTGGTTATCTAACAAAGTGAAATGTGCCGCCCTACGTTTAATCAATTTCGCAGCGGACAGATCTTCAAGTAGCTCGCCACTTTGCAGATAATTTATGAGTGGGGTAGTCCAGCTCGGTGAAGAGGGATCTGTGCTAAGCAACTGACACTCGACTGTGAAGTTGGTGTAGCTAGAGCATCAAGTACCTCCATTATTATTGACCTATGAGGGTTGGTCTCTTGTGAGGAGGCTAACTTTGACAGTTCGTCAGCTCGTTGGTTATCTGCTCTGGGTATCTTGTCGATCTGAAAGGAAGCAAATCATGACTTCAATCTGTTGACCACAGAGGTATAACGGCCAAGCTGGGGATCCCTAACTTCACAGCTGCCATTTACCTGGCATACAACGAGTTGAGAATCACTAAAAATTTGAATGCTCTGTACCTTGAGCTCGGATGCCAATTTCATACCATAAATGAGTGCTTCATATTCGGCAGCATTGTTAGTCGTCTAGCACTTGAACCTCAGCACATGCTCGGATTTAAAACCATCAGGACCCAGCAACACAGCTTCAGCACTCGATCCTTCAACATTTGCAGCTGCGTCTACATACAAAACCCAGACTGGGTGTTTAGGTGTCTTTTCTTTCACAGTCGTCGAGACGCATTCCACTAAGAAATCTGCCATAGCCTAGCCTTTTATAGTCGTGCGCGGCTGAAATTTGAGGTCGTACTCACTTAGCTCGACGCTCCATCTGATAAGCCGGCCTGAGAGTTCTGGCTTCTGCAATATCTTCTTCAGTGGGAAATCAGTGTAGACAACAATCTGATGAGACTGAAAGTAAGTTCTCAGCTTACGAGCTGTGTAGACCAAAGCAAAAGCAGCCTTTTCTGCTAGTGGGTATTTCTGCTCTATACCTTGTAAAACTTTGCTCACATAGCAGATAGGCTTTTGATTCTTATTCTCCTCCTTGAGCAAAACTGAGCTCACTGCCCCTTCTGTAACCCCCAAGTACATGTATAAACTCTCCCCTTCCATGGGCTTGGACAGCAGAGGTGCTGATGCCAGATATTGTTTGAGCTCGTCAAATGCCCTTTGACACTCATCGGTTCATAGAAAGTTCTTAGGTTCTTGAAGGGCTTTGAAGAATGGGAGGCATCTGTCGACCGACCTGGCTATGAACCTATGTAGCGCAGCTATACGGCCTGTTAAATGCTGCACCTCTTTGACAGTCTTGGGCGATTCCATCTGCTGAACGGCTTGAACCTTCTCTAGATTTACTTCAATTCCTTTCTTGGATACCACGTACCCTAGGAATTTTCCTGACTCTACAGCAAATGTGCATTTCAGGGGATTTAACTTCATTTGAGCTCAGCGCAGGTTTTGAAAAGTCTCACTCAGGTCGCCTATGTGATCTTCAGCTCGTACACTGGTGACTATCATGTCATCCACATATACTTCTATGTTTCTGCCAATCTGGAGCTTAAAGATGATTTGCACCAGTTTCTGATATGTAGCACCAGCATTCTTTAGGCCAAATGGCATCATCACATAGCAGTAGATTGCATCACCAACGTAAAAGGCTGTTTTCTCCTGGTCGTCTAACAACAGTTGGACCTGGTGATAACCTGAGCTGGCATCAAGAAAGCTCATCCGTTCGTGTCCAGCTGCCCGCTCTACTAATTTTTCCACATTTGGCAAGGGATGAGGGTTTTTTGGACACGCCTCATTTAAGTTGGTGAAGTCAATGCACATCCTCCATTTGCCATTTGGTTTTTTCACGAGCACGGGATTGGACACCCACTCAGAGTACTCCACTCTTCTGATGAAGCCTTCTTGTAGCAACTTTTGTATCTCTTCGTCTATGGCAGCTTGCTTCTCAGGGCCAAAAAGGCGGCATTTTTGCACCACCGGCCTTCTGGTGGGGTCCGTGCTGAGCTTGTGGACTGTCAACTCTGCTGGGATGCCAGGCATTTCATCCGTAGTCCACGCAAACACATCTTGATTACTCCTCAAAAACTCCAGAAGCTCTGCACGCTCCTCTTCTGTGAGCTTAGTGCCGATCTTAACCGTCCTTTCTAGCACATCTGGGTTTAGAGGAATTGTTTCTACTGGCTCCACTGGCTCTACTTTCTGCTCGACACCATTAGGTCGGTGCTCGATATCTGATATGCTCATCGTCTGCTGACCGAGCTGGGTTGGTCTGCGATTTTCGGAGCCTGAAGGGGTAGCAGCGAGCTCAACCTTTTTAAAAGTATCTTTATAGCAGGCTCTGGCCATGTTTTGATTTCCTCTAAGCACTCCAACCCCCTGAGGAGTTGGGAATTTCATGCAGAGATGGGGTTGTGAGATGACAACCTTCAGCTCGCACAGGGTGGCTCTTCCTAATATAGCATTGAAAGCTGATTCCATCTTAACGACCAGGAAGGTGACGGAAGCCATCCTGAAGCGTGGTTCTGAGCCCACATATATAGGAAGAGTAATAACTCCCTCGATTGGGACGGGCTGGTTATCAAACCCGTATATGGGCTCTTCATACTTCTGCAGTGAGCCCGGATTCAGCTGCATCTTTTGAAAACAGCTCCAGTATAAAATATCTGGCAATCTACCAGTATCAATAAACACCTTATTGACATTATGATTGCCTATATGAACCGTTGCCACAAAGGGATCTGCATAGGGCATCATAATGTCAGGCTTTCCTTCTGCTCGCTTGTAATCTGCCAGGCTGAATGTGATAGGTGTATTCTCCCATTCTGCCTCCTCAAATGGCCGCTTCAAGGGTCTGTTTTTGTTGACAGTCATCACCTGTCGGGTATATGCCTTGCGGGCTCGGGCGCTTTGGCCCCTAGAGTGAACACCACCAGATATCATGTTTATTGTACCCGCAGGCGGGGGTATCCCAGCATAGCCTACCCTTTTCTTATCTTTTTGGTTCTGGGCAGCAGCTCTTTGCCCTTGTCCTCTCCTGTTGAACGGACGCCCTCTGTACGCCCTGCCTTGCTCCGAAGGATATTGATTGTCCTAATATACATCCTGTGCCCCGCCGAGCTAGTACCTCTGCCCCTGAGGTCGGTCATACCCCTGTACAAAATGAGTTTGAGTGGGTTGCTGGGCGTAGGGCTTCTGAACATATCCTTCTAGTTTCCCATTGCGAGCTAGGAACTCCAGCTCATCCTTCAGGTGTTGGCAGTCTTCTGTGTTGTGACCATAAGTACGATGATAGTCACAATGATTGCTCTTGTCTGCCCTTGGGGACTCATAAGTGGGGGTGAGGGTCTTCTAACCCAGTGTTGTATTTGCGCAAGGATTTAAGGCCTGGGCAAGGTTAAAGGAATGTAGTTGGCATACTTGGGGAAGTCAGCGGGCTTCCCCCACTGCTCGTTGACTTTCTGTTTCTTCTTCTCTTCCCTTCTCGGTGGCTGTTCCTGGCTTTTGCTTTGCTTATCGTCAACTCGTCGCTTGGACAACTGGAAGTCTTCTGATAATATGAAACTAGCAGACCTGTCATTCACTTCGTTCCAAGTCCTCGGTGGGTTTTCTAGGAGGTCGTCCAGGAACCGGCCATGCTTCAAACCATGTAGCAAGGCGGACAGGTAGATGGTGTTTGGGATGTTATCAATTTCCAGAGTGGCTTTGTTGAATCGCTGCATGTAGTCCCTTAGAGATTCCCCTTCCTTTTGATTAACTTGCATCAGCTCGGTGGCTGTGTGTTTGATCTCTCTCTGGCTCGCGAATTTGTTGGAGAATAGCTTGGCGAGCTGGGAGTATGAGTCTATAGAATGTCTGGGGAGCTTGTGATACCATCTCCTGGCTGTTGATTTTAGTGTCGCTGGGAACACTTTGCACATCATGGCATCATTGGCATTTTGGATTCTCATGATGGCTTGATAGGTGTGCAGATGTTCATCTGGGTCACCAGAGCCATCATATGTCTCCAGGTGGGGAATCTTGAATCCCTCTTGATAAGGTTCTGCTGTAATGGATAGGTTTAGTGGAGCACTATCCAAATCCAGGGTCTGTTGGTGCGATTTGGGACTTTTCAGCTCGTCAATAGACTTTTGTACTTCTCGCAACTGTCTTTCAAGGTCTGCATTCTTTCTCATCAGCTCGTCAATGGGCTTGAGGTTTGGCTTCCCGCTTCCCCTTGGCCTGGTTGGCATTACTATGTTGCTTAGAGCGGGGGAGTTTCGAGTTGCAACAACCGCAGCTGGTTGTGCATCCCTGTTCAGCAAAGGAATCAGGGAGTCGTCAGGAATTAGACGGGCAAGGATTTTACCCATTGCCATTTCGAGAACTTTGGTTCTCTTTTTGAGCTCGGTTGTCCGAGCAGGTTCTGTTGACCTTTCAGGTCGTTCACGCTGTGAATTGTATGGTCTAGAAGGTCTTGATCTTGTTCCTGTTGGAACTTGAAACTGTTCAGGCTGGGTTGCATACCCAGTTGGTGTTCTTTCATCATTTGTTTCACTTAGGTGATCCTGTTCGGATCCCCCGACAAAAAGATTTCTTGGCATTGGCCTAAAGTCATTCAAGTCGGGCTCAGACACGTGAGTATCCTCCTGTTCGTCCATTTCATTTCTTGGAGGGCGACCTCCTGTAAAAGTACGGACCATTTTGTCTTTCAGCAGGTTAAGTCACACAACTTCTTGTTCGAAGTTCCCACAGATGGCGCCAAATGTTTGGGCTGCTTCGCAGTCCAACACTGTTGAAATCCTTAGCTGCTTCTACACCTGTAAATCCCGAGGATGTTTTCTCGGGGAAAACACTCCGACGCTTAACTCAGCAATACTCAATGTTCTAGAGAAAGAGGCTCTCAAGGAGTAATTGCAGAGAGAGAAGTGTAGAGATTAATTACCTTCATCGGAGGTAGTTGAGGGGTATTTATAGCCCTAAGTGCTGACACGTATCTGTAAATGTGAGCATCCCATTGGCCCACGTGGTGCTGGTCACATGGGTGTGCTTGCATTACTGTTCCCTTAACTTGGGTTATTGGGCAGTAGCCTAGGCCCGTTGCACACAGCCCTGTTTGAATGTTGGGCCTATTCCAACAGAAATAAAATCAAACTATTCATACAAAAATCTTTTTTTTTGTCAAGCTCTTTTAGATTTGACTTCCTCGTTCACATTTTTTTCCAACAAAAACAAAAAGTGCATGAGGTGAAAAAATTTTAAAATAATAAAAATAAATAATAAATAAAAGTGGTCTAATAATGTTATAAATTATAATAAATAAAATTGTAATGGAAGCTAATAATAATAAGATAATTGAGAATATTAAGAAGAGAAGTGGAAGTGGAAGAGAAGAAGATAAGAAGATAAAAAGGTAAAACAAATATTATTAGTATATATATTTATTATATTTTAAATGTAAAAATACTATATTTTCTTTTTAATTTTTAACAAATAAAATTGTAATGGAAGCTAATAATAATAAGATAATTGAGAATATTAAGAAGAGAAGTGGAAGTGGAAGAGAAGACGATAAGAAGATAAAAA